CGTGCGTGGGTGCCTGCCCGCACACATGTGTGCTGCTACTGTGTGTGCTGCTGCTGTGTGTGTGTTTACTACTGCATGTGTACGTGCGCGCGCGTGTGTGCTGTTGCGTGCCTATGTGCTGCATGCATGTGTGCTGCTGTGTGTGTGCTGCGTGTGTGTGTTGTTGCGTGTGTGTGCGTGCATGTGTGTTGCTGCGCGCGCGCGTGTGCACGTGCGTGTGTGTTGCTGCATGTGTATGTGCTGCCGCGTGTGTGCTCCTACCCTCGCAGTGATGCTGCGTGTGTGCGCTACTGCCCCGCACACACACATACCACATGAGGGGCAAAAAAATCTTTTCAAGTGTCATTTAGGCTCAAAATGGACGAAAATATCATATAGGGAATAAAATTTTAAACTTGAATCAAATAAGAAAATTTTTTCCAGCGTCAAATAAGGAAGCAGATTTTAAGTGTCAAATAAGGAATTTTCTCTTGCTTTTCACTCAAGCTCAGCAAAGAAGTACTCTACGTACTAGGGTACTACAGTACTCCGGTGGATGCTCGTGACGCATCTGCCCAATAATCAATTCTCTCCCCAAGCACCACGCTAAATTTGATCGGACAAGAAAAGCAGCACGCCAAAAGCGCCTCTTTAAATTGCAGGTTTTTCACCAACCGCCAGCCTCACCGAACTGACAGCCAAACCGCGGTGGGGGTGTGGGTGGGGGTGGGGGTGGGGTGGTTGGAAAACTGGAAAGTATGATTAGAGACTGAAGCTTCGTGCTCAGTCGTTGATCGACCGTGAACAATAGCAAACCGGGCGCTCTGCCAAATTTTCTACTCAAAATCAAATCCACGATCGATACACAGCGGAGCAGGTTGGTGGTGGTAGGAATCTGATCGTGATCGATCATCGTCATATGCATGTCGCATGGACTAGCACGATTGGAGGGGCGGGGTCGACACGCCAGACAAAGAATAATTAAAGGAGGAGAAAAAACCACTCCTACCACACCACAAAGCTAGTAGTGATCGATGGTGCTTCTTTACAAGGCGCTGGTTGGTGGATCCATGGTTCACCAACCCCGCCAGAGGCTAGTGGATATATACAGGCACGTCGAGGCTGTGGGTGGACGTACACTCGATCGAACCAACTCATTCCTTCCTACCACCCCCGGCACCACCAGCCCAAGCAGAGCCATGGCGCCCAGCGGAGACAACACCGTGGCCAACGTCCACAGCGGCATCGACAGCACCAACAAGACGCTGCTCAAGAGCGACGCCCTCTACACCTACATCCTCGACACCACCGTGTTCCCCCGCGAGCACGAGTGCATGCGCGACCTGCGCCTCATCACGGACAAGCACCCATGGTACGTCCGCCATCTTCTTCTTCACGATCCATGTCGATCGATCGTAGTTACTACTCGTTATTGTGGTTGCTGATCGATCTGGCTCTCGTTCATTGGATTCAGGGGCTACATGCAGTCGTCCTCGGACGAGGCGCAGCTGCTGGGGATGCTGATCAAGATGGCGGGCGCCAAGAAGACGATCGAGGTGGGCGTGTTCACGGGCTACTCGCTGCTGGCCACCGCGCTGGCGCTCCCGGAGGACGGCAAGGTGGTGGCCATCGACACCGACCGCGAGTGCTACGAGGTGGGCCGCCCCTTCATCGAGAAGGCCGGCATGGCGCACAAGGTGGACTTCCGCGAGGGCACCGGCCTGGAGCGCCTGGACGAGCTCCTCGTCGAGGACGACGGCGCGGCGAGCTACGACTTCGCGTTCGTGGACGCGGACAAGCCCAACTACGTGCGCTACCACGAGCAGCTGCTGAAGCTGGTCCGCGTCGGCGGCACCATCATCTACGACAACACGCTGTGGGGCGGCACGGTGGCCCTGCCGGCGGGCACGCCCATGTCCGACCTCGACACCCGCTTCTCCGCCGCCCTCAGGGACCTCAACGCCAAGCTCGCCGCCGACCCGCGCATCGAGGTCTGCCAGCTCGCCATCGCCGACGGCGTCACCATCTGCCGCCGCATCGTCTAGACGGGCGTCCGGCCCGGCCCGGCGTGATCGTGATCCGCCGTGCGCCTGCCGGCCTGCGTGCGTGCGTGGAGTCCATTTCCTTACCAGCCGCTTATCTTAATCAATTGTATTATTTTTTTCCCTGCCAGCGCTGGCGCCGTGAAGCATCTGATGGTTTGAAAGTTTCAATAATATTTTTGGCTTTTCAACTTTGAGAGGAGAGGGAGGAGTGGCTGTACTTATGTACTGTAACTATACTATATATGGTGTTCCGATGTCCGATGACGAGGTCGTGCATGTGGATGCCGTTGTCACCCGCCTAATTGTTAAGTTTATCTCAACTGAGGACGGGGCGTTGAGGCAGCCGAGGTTGCTGCCAGCCCACCCGAGTTTAAGTCCCGGCTTGAACGCGTGGTGCTCGCGGAGTTTTCCCTATAAATAAATGTCAACGAGGGTTACCTTTTGGGTTGGTCTCATTATTTTTTAAGTTTATCTCAACTGGATTGTTTAATGTGAGATGGTGAGACACGCCGGATGTGCTGTAACGCACAGCGACGGGGGTGTTGATTTAAACAAACATGCAGCGACGGGGACACCGAGTTGTCTGATCGATGTTGTACACTGTTAAACTCCACGTCTTCCCGTCACCATCCTAGCTGCTCCCTCCGTTCATGACCCAAAACTCTTTACTAACTTTAAAATTAGGTCATCTATTTTAGAACGGAGGGATTATATTCGTTAGTATTATCTGTTAGAAATATTAGCACATTTTTAACTAATCTATTTTTTTACAGGGAATTTAGAAATCTTTACTATGCAGAAGCGTTCGCTGAACAGTCAGCCGAGAGGCTACTTATCAGGAAGTTGGGAGTCTTGGTAAGCCAACTTTCAGTCACAGCTCAGGCTGTAAGTGGGACGGGTTGTGGCCGTCCCGCATCCCGCAATCCAGAACGCAAGCGGCCGCGCGGGATATGTGGCTTGCATATGCGGTATACGCGGGTGGCCGCTACGCCGCGAGCCCGCAAGCAGGAAGTGTCCATACATAACGTCCAATATATATACAGAGCTGAATACATCGTGAAGGAATAGGCGCACAAACTCTCGTGCTGAATAATAAAATTATGAACTGTACGAGCTGATTAGTTGAGGTCATCCTATGATAATCGACAACACAGTGCTCATAGTAATCAATAGAGGCATTTCCAACGCTGACAAGCTATTCGTACCCATTCGGTCATCTAAGAGCAACTTCAATGGGGCGACCCATTTCGTCCGTCGTCGTCCGTTTGGGTCGGCGCGGACAGAAAAGGCGGTCCAACGCACCAACCCAAACGGATGCACGTCCGCTTTTCGTCCGCCCCCGATCCATTCCCGACCCATTTTTAAGCGAGTGGAAGGAGACTGCGCTCCGGGTCGCCGCCGCTGCGCCGGAACCCGCGAATAGTATCTTCTACCCTTTTTTCCTGCACATCGTCTACTCGGGGCTGGTGCCCCCATTCTCCCGCTTCTTCTACGCTGTTCTTCATCATTATGGCCTCCACGCGCTCCATATTCACCCCCAACCCCATCCTCCTCCTGTCCATCTTTGCCTTCTACTGCGAGGTGTTCGTGGGGGTGATGCCTTCCGTCGCCATGCTCCACCACTTCTTCTTCCTCCGCATGGGTGGCGACCATCCTGCTGGGTGCGCCGGCTTCGTTGCAGCCCGGGGCGGTAATGTGATCTCCCGCGCCGGGAAGAAGGTGGAAGACACCCTGAAGAGGTGGGTCCTGATGGACGCCAAGTGCTCGCAGGACTTGCTGGAGCTGCCGACTGAGTTCCCCTCCCCCGAGAAGGTGTGGCTCTCTGAGAAGATCACCAACCCTTCCCTGAGGTCGTTGATGAAGAAGATGGGGGAGGACCTGAAGAGCGAGAAGCTGACGGGGGCCATGCTCGTCAAGAAGTTCTTGATGCAGTGCCTTGCGCCGCTCCAAGATCGCTCCCGTCCCTTGTGAAAGCTTGGGGGCGCCGATGACAAGATCCGCCTGCGCCAGGACGCCCTTCCCGAGGAGGAGCTGAGCAAGGTGTTGCTTTACTTGACTGGGAAAGACCCGAGCGGTCCTCCGGAGGATTGGCTCCCGCTGTACTGTTGAGTCGACGGGGAGGAGGTCGTTGCTGCCATGCCGGTCTTTGAAGAGTTCGGGCTCGTGCGGGCTGGGCCTCCCCCGCCGCCTACTTCCTTGGTGGACCTATCCTCCAGCGATCAATCCTCAGAAGCCACTGAGGACGAGGGCGAGGGGGAATCCTCTGTCCCGGGGCAGAGGGAGCTCCCCCGCGACCTCCCCGACAATGATGACGATGATGCGCCTCCGGTGGTGGAGCTGGCTCGCCCCTCTGGAGTCACCACGAGATCCGGGCTGGCCTCCTTGAAGCAGCCTAAGCGGTCGGGCGCGAAGAAGGGCAGGACTATGTTGATCCCTCCGGGCAACGCTCTGCCTTCCCTAGCAGCGTCCCGAGTGGTGCCAACCGTGAGTTCTCCCGCTCCAAGGGTGCGGCTCCGACTGCCCCAGCTCGGTCCCCGTTGCTGAGCCTGAAGAGGAACTACGTCTACTCCGACCAGTGAGTTTCTTCCCTTGGTCATGTCATTGATTCCTGACGCAATCCTTAGTGCCTTCATCTTTCATTAGGCAGCAACCATCCAAGAAGCAGAAGGAGGGCGCGAGAGTTGCCGTGGTCGAGCGCGTGGAGGTGGTCGCCGCAGCCCTGGAGAAGGAGAGCACTGCGGCCACTGCAGCTCCGGCGGTGATGTCGTCTCCCCAGGGCGCGAAAGCTCGTCCTCAGGAGGAGCCGGTGCCTTCACCGGCCCTGACCCCGCCAGTGCCCATCCTTGTTGTGGCTGCCGAGGCTGCCCAACCTCCGGAGCCCCCGGTCCTTACTGCTGCAGTGGCTCCTCCTGTCCCGGCGCCGAGGACGTCTTCTCTTCTGCCCGTCGTGCAGCTGGGCCATGGCGCCCCTGCCGCCTCCGGAGCCCTGGAGGAGGCAAGGGCGGCGCTGGACCTCCTCCAGGGTGAACTTCAGGGCCCAGACCGACGCGCGTCATTGGGACGTCTGGGGCTGATTTCTGGGTGGCTCCAGGCTGATGCGTCTGTCCGAGTGGCCTGAGGCTCTGCGGAGGAAGCCCAGAAGGTGCTTGGGGTGGCTGCCACCGAGCACGACCTGGCGCAGAAGGAGGGCACAGAAGCCAAGGATCGGTGCCGCGCGATGGAGGCTGAACTGAAGGTTCTTTAGGATCAACATGCCTCCCACGCCAGGCAGCTCCAGGAACGTGAGGAGAAACTGAAGGCCCAGGAGGCTGCCGTTGCCGATCGAGATGCCGAGCTGAAGAAGGCAGCCCTGGAGCAGGCTGTAGAGCGCGACCTCCTGACGAATCTGAAGGAGGAGGCGGTGACGGCCCAGGCGTCCCTTGCCGAGGCCAAGAAAGTGGCCACCATGGAGCGCAACACCCTTTCTTCCCTCGAGGTGAGGTTCCACAAGCTCAGCGGTCGCTCTTCGGGGACGATTCCTTGAAGAAGAAGGCAGCGACAGCCTTGAGGGAGAGCCCTACCGCTCTGCTCCCTGAGGTCGTGGCAGTGCTCAAGGATGCTGTCGACGGGTTTGGCTCTTTGATGGAAGGTGAGGCTCGCTCGCTTTCTTCTTCAGCCCTTACATGCGTCTTCAACCATCTCTATCTCCGGGACGCCAACTTTGACTTCTCCTCCTTCCTCGGCCCCGTGGATTCTGACTCCGAGGATGCTGCTGCTGCCGCCGTGAAGAGTTTCGTGGAAGCCCTGCTGAGCAAGTTCCTCATCATAGGTCCTCCAACCGGGGCTGAGGGGACGGGCGACGCGCCTGGCGACGGGGGTCCGCTAGCGGGTGACGGCGGCACCCAGGTCTGAAGAGGTGGCCTGGTGACATTGCTCCTTCCTGTTTGTCTTGTATCATGCCTCTTGGAGGCGTTTAAAACTGTTTGCTTGGAACAATATGCTTTGTAATAATTAGATTATGGTCCTTCGATTTTTTCCATTTGCTTTATTGTTCTGCGTTGGCAGAGCCCGACCCTGCGCATACCTCAGCCGCTGTTGGGTAGTCCAGATCGCCAGGACGAGCCCAGGGGGTGAGGGGCTACGTGACCAGCTAGGCTCCTGAGATGCGATACTCAGGAGCCCTCCTTGACATGCGAACAGCTTAGGAGAAAGTGCGAAGGCAAGCCTTGATGTTCTGCGTAGGCAGGGCCCGGCCCCGCGCATACCTCAGCCACCATTGGGTCGTCCGAATCGCCAGGACGAGCCCAGGGAGTGAGGGGCTACGTGACCAGTTAGGCTCCTGAGACACAATGCTCAGGAGTCCCCCTTGATGTACGAACGGCTTGAAAAGGGCGAAAGTCAGGCTTTGGCATTCTGTGTCGGCAGGGCCTAGCCCCGTGCATGCCTCAGTCGCCGTTGGGTCGTACAGATCACCAGGACGAGACCAAGGGGTGAGGGGCTATGTGGCCAGTTAGGCTCCTGAGATGCGATGCTCAGGAGTCCCCCTTGACGTATGCCCGACCATCATACCTTTTCCTCACCGACCTCTCGCTTGGGAGGAGCGTGCGAAGACCAGGCCCGTGGGGCCTGGCGAGGTGGGGTACGCCAAGCGTGACCTGAGCGTAGCCCCCGTGACCAGCCCCCTCGTGCCACCCTCCCGAGGGAGAGCGGCGCGGTGAGGCTGGCCACTGAGCCCGAAAGCTCCCTGAGGTTAATGCAGCTGCGAGGCCACCCCCAGTTGTTTATCACCAGCGGGGAGCATAGCGCTTCCGCTCTTGCACGGTCATAGCCGCTCCTTGGTAGTGTCGACGGCCAACGGAGCATGGTGCTTCCACTGGTGCGTGGGAGGGGGCTCCCTCTGAGAAGAGCCCCTGGGGCGTGTACAGCCCCGCCCTAACATGTGGCTTGCACGGCAGGGCTGGAGGAGGTGTATATGGGCACCCGTGAGCCCGCGCACGAGGCCCTACCTCAAGGTGGGTTGC